TGAACGTATGAATTCGTAACTTTGATAATCCGAGCCTCGATCACCTTCATTTGTCACCTCGTAACCAATTCGCACCTCCGCACCTTCGTTGCTTTGTAGCCTCAAACCTTCGATAATTTGCCTTCGTCGAAATCTACTCGACCTCTGCAGCTTAACAGCTTCGAAAATCTGCCAATAAGTAGATTCATAACAGTGACCTACAACATCCTCCACCCACCTCATCTTGAAATATCCCAGTCTACCGGGACTTCTTTGCTCGTAAATCATGTAGATATGGGTTCTCTATTAGATAAATCTAAAGTGACTCAGTGGAAGAGCTCGCTTTTCTGTAACAATTGTGTGTGGTAAGGCTCTCTAAAGTATGTTCTACGCAGTACACAAATTCTCGACTCCTCAGGCCGCCAGCACATAGCGCAGCTCTCTCCTGGGCTGAGCTAGCCGGCACGTGATACATCACAACACGTATTGCGCGCAGGCCTCACGCGTAGTAGCATAGAGAAACGTGTACTTAGAACGAGTCGATGCTGCCATTCCCGATTGCCGTCTCCATGAGAATCCACATTCACCCTTTGCATGCCTGAATCTCAGGCCCCGGATCCTAAAAGCGTTAGGCCTCCGCTCTCACCAGTAAATCTGAATTGGTGCAGACTTCCAGGGCCGGGAATAAAGTGGCATGACTCAGATGAAAAGTACTTTGAGCAGCTTGCAGAAGTCTTTCATAGTCTTAGACCCAGTAGAGACTATGACAGAATGTAATCTACAGGGCCGGGCAAGACGAGTTCAAATCAGAAATGCACCTCGCCTTGAACCTGCCACTCGCCATTCTAAAAAGTCGCCGAGGGTCGCAGCGTCCGGTTTACAGGTCGTGGGTCCTTCCCGGGATGCATTCCAATTCCGACTGTTATGGCTATGAGCTATGCGGAAGTCATACTGCAGAGTGATGAGGAGTGGAGAATATTATATTTAGTGGGTAACGGTGAATAGACTCATACAATACTATGCTGTAGGTATATGGACAGGAAGAAGAAGACTAAACATGTATCCATTTACTATGGGTTGGTCTATGAAACTGTAAATATGCTCGCCTAACCAGTTCGCTAGTCATATATGCTGTGGCTTTGAGCCACACGCGATGCCCTTGCCTCGACTACTACGCTGCCTCATACCTTAACACCGTCCAGGGTCTCTACAGATTCAGTGTACGAAACACTTCTCGTCCGCTAACAGTGCATGATTACATCAGCCATAACGGCATGCATTACGGGATGTAGAACTAACATGGTAAGGAGACAAGGCATGGGATCTCGTGAAGAGTTTCTAGGAGATGACTTTGGCCCAAGGCCTCCTCCATCGTTGTTAGAGTGTGATTTTGCCTAGGTTTCTTCTCAAAGTAGCTGAGGCGGATGGGTGGCTGCAGCTCTCAGGGTGACCAGAGAAAATATTTCTTCACCTGCCGTTGCGCCTATTCCCTGGTCAATCGGGACGTCTTTAATCGAAATTCCATTCTCTCGTTGCCTATCCATGTGAATGAGTCACTGCCGATGTAGAGTCCACCAATTGGTCTCTAGCCGTGCTACAAAATCTTTGACTCAGAAAGAACTGCAATAAATTCTTCATTATGATTGGCAAGACCAGACCTTTCCGTCGCGACGCGCAGCTGTCGCTGGATAATTTCAGAGCTCTCAGTAGGCCTTGACAGTAGTTGGCTATTGATTGTGATGGATACATATCTGAAACAGTCAGGGTATATGTGAGTATTCACCTTGGCCCCATTAAAGGTGATGGTAAAAGTAACATTCTTTACGCAGCCTTGTCCTGAGATACCTCGATGGAGGGAGAAGGTGTCTGAAGTAGAGGGCTAGTCACCTACTTCCACTTTACCTACTCCGCATTCAATCTCCATCTCCCGATGCCGAACTCTTGAGTGCAGGTTCAGCGGGAATCACGACATGTTTATTCAACCGGTGCATATTGTGTCAGGCGCTTCGGAAGCGTAGGCAGCCGATGGTCGGGTGTAACAATAGAGGAAATGGGCGAGAAGAGTCTAATCCTTCGTAGCATTTGAAAGAACGCAAAATGGATATGCCCACCTGCCGTGAGCTGCACATAAAAACACACCTCACAGTGGTATTTGCGAACGGAATGCCGAGTATGAGAGTCATCCCAAAGGCACATAGATCACTGTTCATGCATCATGGCTAATTAAACGTAGGATCAAAAAGAGAGCTAGACCTGCCCATGCGCCGGCGTCAACCACCGGAAACGGGACTTCCTTGACACTAGCTCTGAACTTCATTGCAGCCCAAACGCGCCACGGCAGCTTTGCGGTACAGCATCGCCGATTCAACGATGCCGACGCGTCTGAGGAATGCGCCTGTGGAGATAAAACTGGTTCTACTCACCTTGTACACTGCCAACTAGACACATACACAACGCGTCGAACACGGTGGTCAATGTCGCACAGTGCGTCGGGAATGCTGGTCAATTTGCGCAGGAAACCGGGCGCTTTGGGGTCCCTCCTGTGCGTCTACTTCCTACTCTCAGTGGAGATGAAATGTGATCGGCCACGACAGGTAACTTGAATAGATGGAAAATGAGGTGAGGAGTGTGATTTCTCAGGGGAAAACGGTTGGAATTTGCCTGGTCTGAAATTTTTTGGGACGTGGAGTCGTTGCTGCAAGAATATTGGCGGTGCAACCAAGTTGGCTATGTCTTTGATGTAGTATCGACTGTGCCCATGATGGACTCGGAGCGTGAGCTTATGACCCAAATACGACAAATCTCGATGCTTTGTGGCATTTCAAGACGACCACTAACTTTTCTCAGCTACCATACTACCGCAAACGGCATTTGGTTTCAGTATCCCGTACAGATATCCTAAGAGCCCATTCAGTTGCCTAGCACTATTATATTAGCAAAGGAGGAAACTAACTAGATAGAATCTCCTGATTCTGCTTCAATTAACCTTCATTGTCGCCTCAACCTTTTACGAAGATCATCACAACATCTCCCGGCCGGTACGTTATTGCTTCAAAGAACCTATCTAGTACTAGCCGTAGCAGTCCCCCTCTTCCACTGTGAATACGCTCGAGCTCTACTTTTGATGTTTTCCGACGGGTAACAAATTGGCACTGAATTACAAACTCCGGGCCTTCCTTTTGCGCAGACAAGGGTTGAGCCAAATTTGCTCGCTCCTCCGCTAAATAGCGACACTACTTTATAGCCTGCTAACCTTACTCTGACTACTCAAAGCTGTGGCGTTTGGATCTATTCTCGTTCTGCCAGCGATATGTTCCGCCCTTGTCCTCGCGCTCTCCAGAGTATTCCAGCTTCTGAAGAGCTGCATCTTACCAGCCTCTCCAATTCCATCTTTGGTCTTTTGTTTCCCTCAGGCTTTGCTCATGATTTAACGTGATTATCTCTTCTCCCGGCAGCGACTGAGTTGATTTTGACGCATGTGTGTACTTATCCACACAAAAGTTTACTTGATGGTGCTGCGTGTTGAGCAGTTTTTTGATGCTAAAAGCTTTCCATCGCGCCATTACACAGCTTGTAATCGACCACATCGGCTTCTGGGGTGTCTTTCGTAGGCCCCACGCCCGTTCTGTAGAATTTTTGCTCGCGCCGGCGGTAAGGTTGATGAGGTTGCGTGGTGCAGTGGTAGATGGTCTAGACCGGTATGTTCTGCAGCAGTGTCAATCTAGGCGACCGCTTCGCGCGTGCTAGGAGAATAGTCTGTTGAATATGCGCAACATCTATCGAAATCCCTAAGCAGATGTCTGTGGTCGAATCCAAAAGAAATTCAGCGTAGGGGAGGAAGCTTGGTCTCAATTTGCAAATCTTATACTCCTGCATTCTTTTGAAGGCGGGCACTGCGCGACGACGGCTGCACCTTGTAGGATATGAGCCAATCATCTCCCTTTTCGAGTGGGGGGGGGAGACTAGTTGCGTGGGGCTACCGTTGCCAGCCATTTGGCACAGTCGAAGGCGATGAGCACGACATGATGCTGGAATATCTTGTAGAGCGTAACTCTTCATTACGCCATACGCTCAGGTGCTATGAGGCAACGGAACAATCGGATTGAACTACATGCATAGACATCCTTCGAATCACTTCACGTAACCGTCTTGCGAACTTCCTATTGCATTCTGCACGCGTAATGCGTGAATTATAGACGCCGCGCTGTAGCTCCCCCTGAATGCCACTGCACATCATGTAAGAATTCTGGGTTTCGCTTCACTCTACATGATTCCGCCTCTGGCTGGAGGGGAATTTTCGATCCCTATGACATTTCGACTTCTTCGTGCCGCTCTACGTTTGTCAATCTGGGAACCAGTTGCATGGTACTCGAGCCACACATTGTGTCTGGAGAGCCTTTCAGGGCGGACCCATTACAACAGCTTGTTGTTCTAATTTTTTTCGGGTACCTTGGGCAGATATTCACCATCGTCCTTTACGCCAATCCACTCTAAGAACCACCTATCTCTTGAAGGTCGAAGAAACAAGACCCCCGCGAGAATTCGAGGACTCGTAGTGGTCCATCATTATTCAGTTGGAAGTCTCTCAAAGCAACAGTTGAATTTAGCAAATTATTTTAATAGCATTTTGTCGAAAAACCTGTAGGTTCTTACACTTTCATCGCTATTGCCGTGTAGCGGTAAAGAGTTATGTTCTAACCAGAGATTACTCAAGAGGACCTATCTTACCTTCTACCCTGGCAAATAGCATTGTCGATGAAAAAGGTCATCTCGCTGCTGTCTCTCCAGCACTGAGTGGCGAGTATCACTTTGCCATTAGATAATTGAAATGACATAGCAGTAGACATTGTTCAATGATAGACCCTTAATGACGTATTGGCAATAGCACACTACTCGCTGGAATTACAGTCTATCAGGGGATGGCAACCAAGTCACGTGAGAAAAAGGGATGATGAAAATTCGGCTGTGCGTCCTTAGCGCCTAAAATTTATCGAGAACATTCTAGACAAGCTGGCTTAGCCCGGCTTGTGCGATGCGATCAGGACGTCGTTAGAATAATCTCTCCTCATCTTTCTACTCAAAATATTGTTTCAAGTCAACCTTTAGTGAACCAATCAACAGACAGCCCCGTCGTCATAATGGTACGGACAATCTATCTCGCGCGAAGGCGTCCCAGTGTCAATCTGACTAACATCTTATCATTGGATCATGATGAAAACGGTACTGACATGATTCATCAATAGTCAACTACGCTCAAATCCATCAAGTCCCTCGCACCACTTCTTGATCGTGTTCTAGTTCAGCGAGTCAAGATGGAGGCTAAAACAGCGAGTGGAATTTTTCTACCTGAAAGCAGCCGAAAAGAACTTAATGAAGCGCGAGTCCTCGCTGTTGGACCTGGCGGTTTAGATAAGGACGGAAAAAGAGTGGCGTGTGGCGTGAAGGTCGGAGACAAGGTTTTAATCCCCCAGGTAAGCACCCTACACTTAATCAGCTATGTCATTTCACGCGAGAGTACATGTTGCCACTGAATTTTCGACTGGGCCTGCTCTTTATCGGTTCGGGTTGAGTTTCAGGTGGATCTAGGGACAAGAATTTTGCCACGCACAATGTCATATTGATGATCTTTCAGCAAACTTGATAAACAAGGTTTATATTTTTTCAACATGCTCACATTTTGGCAGTATGGAGGATCGCCAATCAAAGTAGGAGACGAAGAATTTTCTCTGTTCAAAGACCATGAGTAAGTCAAATCATAAAAAAGCCCAGAGGGCCTAGCCACTTCGCTCGATAAGGTTGACTAACACTCGAACCAGTATTCTAGCCAAGATCAACGAGTAGAAGCAAGAACTTGCATTTGGTGCTTAGGACCGGGTTATTGTGGGAGAGTGTATATTACTTTTGTACCATTTTAGATTCATAATTAACGTTGGATGGCTATGGCGGAGGGATAGGGCTAAGTCGTCGAGTGGCATCGGATGGCAAGTACAACTTGTTGATCTCGGCAGTAAAGGCGAACAACTTTAGTGAAGTCATGTAAGGTATTCATGATGGCGATCGAAATAGAAATCTCCTCTCATGCAAGTAAAGCACCTATCGCGTCTTGCCGCCAAAGAGCACCTGGCGTGACTAACACCTCACTGGTTGTAGGAGGTTATTGTACCCAGCACGATCGCCCTTTGCAGCAATAGAGTACTTGAAAACTTGGACGGAAAGCGGCGGTCAGACGGTGAAAGAGAAGAATTGATGGAGGGACGATAACCGACAAGATGCTGTGTAGCGGTCCTGTAACAGGAAGTTCAAAATATGAGCCGGATGGGTTTAGCGCACAGACGCCCGATGCCTACAAGGCACCATGCTTGTCGACGGAACGGACAGCTATTAATCCGTTTACATAATCATGGTAGGCGAGCGAGGTGACTTGGTCGTTTCCAATGTGCTTCCAGGGCGTGGTGAGCGGGCGGGCGGGAGAGAGGAGTATAGCTTGGAGTGACAGGCATAGATCAGGAATAGTGAGGGTCACACTCGAATTAGGTAGGCATTATGGCGGATATTCATGCAAATTCAACGGTCCAAGTGGCATCGGCCAGCTGCTAACACTAACAGTGCCACAACTGTCCATACAAGCATTAATTCTGTACGGCTGGGCACTTGAGAAGGGAAAAGGAGGCAAATAATTCCGTGGAGGAGCGGGAAGCCTCTTGCACATTCGTGCCCTAGCCGGGCAGTGGGCCTTGTGGGATCGGGATGAAGATTCGATCCATGTGGGGGCGGCGGCAGGGGCGAAAGAAACCTGCTCTATGGGACGATCAGCCTATGCCATTTTCCAGGCTCCAACTCCGGGCTTGGTGTAAGTTGTGCTTTTGGAGAGCTCTGACTCTTCTCTGGCTCTTCTTTCGCCCTTATCCAGCTCACGGCATTCCTTCGACCTCCGATCACACCGTATCCCGTACCCCTTGCCCTGGTGCCTTGCCTTGCCTCGACATGGACGGGCTGGGACGCATCCAAGAATAGGCGGAGTTTGCCTGAGAGGCGATGGCGGCGGCGGCGACCCGCGTCATGTAGGCGCGAATAGCCACCCAAGTGATGTGCCCATGGAACCAATGATGGAGGAGCGACGGGAATGTCGTAGAGGGAGAAAAAGGGGGCCACGAGAAGCGCTGTAGTCGAGGGGCCCGAGCCGACGAGGGTGCGTATCATTACTTTGTCTGGATGTCAAGCGAAGGCGAACGCATCTTTGAAGGACTCACCGTGTAGGCAAGCAGGCAGGCAGGGGGGGGAAGTAGAGGGAAGGCAAGGTCAGGAAACGACAATTGTAGCTCGCAGCACCAAGAGTCGCTGTCTGGCTCATCCTGTATATATTGAGCATCAACTTCTCTCGATTCCCCACCATCATTTCTTTGTATCGCATCCTCACTTTGGCTCCACTGCTACCGTCTGCACTTCCACTCTAATTTCTCGCTATTCATCCGTCTTTGTTCCGCCAGCATCCTTTGACTCGACTGGTCCGAATCTCTGGGCCCAAGCTAAACGGCTCTCTTCGTCACTGATCAACATCGGCTGTAGATTAAACTCGGTTACTCCTTCAACCGAGTAAACTTTCATTACCCCCCCGTCTGGCATTTATAGGGCAGAGCCGATCATCCACTCCGACCCACACCCCATCTACTCGCGGCCATTTATTCCCGCATCCTCCTCTCTTCTTTTACAACCTATCTTCGCTCTCTTTGCGCCACCACTGCCATTGTTCTCCAACACGCTCATTACCCTAAAACGTCCCGACGCTCCTTATAAAAATGACACTGTTACTCCGACTGTCTCTTCTTCTCGCGGCGACTGCGAGCGCCGTCGACGCACATTCTCTATTCACTACTCTTCACATTAACGACCAAGATCAGGGCGATGGAACCTGTATTCGCATGCCTAAAGACCCATCAACTGCCACTAATCCCGTCGAAGACTTGCAGGACCCTGCTATGGTATGCGGTAAGTTATTCGACACCACCTTCCCATTCATGCAGCTAACGTTCTCGCAGGATTTGATGGGACGAATGGTGTTCAGCGTGTCTGCAAAACTCCTCAAGGAAGCACCCTCGGTTTTGAGTATCACACTTTTCCAGACCGGAGCCAGGAAGGATCCATCGAACCTTCTCACAAAGGACCCTGCGCTGTATACATGAAGGCCGTTCCCTCAGCTTCTGAGGCTAGTGGTGAAGGCGAAGGCTGGTTTAAGGTCTGGGAGCAGGGCTATGACTCAAGCTCCAAAAAGTGGTGCTCAGACAAAATTATTGACAACAATGGTATCATGAACGTGCAGCTACCCTCTGATCTTGCTGGCGGCGAATACCTCGTCAGAAGCGAGCTTTTAGCCCTCCACGAAGCTGACAAGTCACCACCTAATCCTCAATTCTATGTCGGCTGTGCTCAGATTTACCTGGACTCTCAGGCCAACGCAGCTCCTCCGCCAGATACGACTGTTTCTATTCCTGGTCACGTGAAGATTTCCGACCCATCTGTTCTCTTCAACATTTACACACCTTCATGGCCATACACCATGCCTGGGCCACGCGTCTATTCCAACGGAATTCCTAGCGAAAATCGACAAACCTCGAGATCTGAAAATAGAGACCTGCCACCAAGAACCATTGCTATCAATGCAAACTGGTATGGTACAGAACAAGAGCCATACAACACCGAATCTGGATGCTGGACCGTAAGTTCCAAATTCTGAAATAGATAGTCTCAACAAGCTGATTGGATTTGCGTCTATCTAGGCTACCTCTAATTGTTTCCAACAAGCGCATTCTTGCTACAGCACATCTCCTCCTACTGGCTCTAAAGGGTGTAGGTTATACGAGAATAAGTGCACTAAAATGCAACAAGGCTGCGGTTCCGGCAACTTTAACGGACCTCCGGATCAGGGCCAAATCTTAACCCCAGGCATCAAAGATTCCCATGGTTCACAAAATACAGCGGCATACTCTGGTAATATTACTTTTCACTAAAATCCCCTAATTTGCTTCCGTAACATTTCTATGTTTAGAAAGAAACCCAATTCTTTCTACAAATTCTGCTTTGTAAATTTACTAACTAAATATCAAATAGACTTGGGAGCCCAAAGCAGAGGGCAGAGCAATACGCGAATTCAAAGAACGCGGAGACGCACTCCAACTTACTATCGAGGGCTATGGTAAGCGAATATAAGCCTTGATTATATTGTTATCCTGGTTATAGCACGTGCGCATGACGATGCGATGAAGGTTTCTTGAGTTTCTTACTACACGTCTGGTGTATTTCGTAATTTCGCTGGTCGTCGAATTTCTATTTCCATTGTCTTGAGACAACGGGGTTTATGTTTCTCACTCTCATGAAATACCCTGGAAGGTAACTCAGCGTGCCTGGGCGCATAGAGGTGTTTGGCCTTTGATGTTAGTGTAACTTTTGGGAAATTTCCCATCTAGTTGGAATAAGATACCTCAATTGATTCAAGTATCCTCCTAGCTCAAAATGTGATTTGTTGTGTAGAGCCTTTTCTGTGCTAGGTCCAGTCTGGATCGAGCGAGACGGAGACTTATTCTTACACCCCGCCTAAATTTCTTTCGCGACGTATAATTTCTAGTAGCACCCAACATTCTTTTGCCTAGGGAAACTCGGAGAAAGCTATATCCGATTTAACCAGTCGTTCTGCCCACTAAAATTAGCCAGTAGAACGGCAGGGTTTGACGATGACGGCAACAAGTCTTTAGATTATTATTATTATCCATTTATGTCCTATTTGAGTTTACAACTGTGTAGGAGAGAAATCTTTAGATCGCACGCTAAGAAATTAAAGAAAATTTACCGCAAGTAAATGAAGTGTTCCGTATAAAGTTCCAAGTCGGCATCCGGGGAGAGATTAGGCAAACCCCACATGCAAGGGTCTTTGCCCATAGGTAGGCAAGTGGATCCGACCACGAGGGTCGATTGGAGAATAATTTCCTCGGCCACAGACGCCAAGGAGGTCCAGGAGCTCCGATACGGGCCGGTCGCATTCACCCCGTCTAGACCCATGCTCTGCCGCCCCCATCTTGAGGGGCGGCAGTAGAAGCAAATTTCCGTGAACGGAGATGACGATGTCACGACCATGTCAATTCTCCTCATGTCCGGAATGTTGGTAATAAGACGAAGTGTAACTGCGTTGGTGGAAGAGAAGAACCCGGGTCCTACAGTAAACACCAAGCCAACCGAGCAGCGAGGATGGATAAACTCGCCAGCTCCTCCGCTGCAGCGTCGCATGCCACGGAACGCGACGACATTGAACGACTCGGATCACACCGCTCTAGCGCCGTGCTGTGGCCAAGGACAATTGATTGTCTGGCTTCGGCCCCAACTGGCCTCTCGGTACAACATCACCCTTGCGCGCCTACCGAGGCTGGTGAGGCGATGGAACGGCGGGGTTTATTCGGGCGCTTTCTCGTATCCTCCCCATCGTCGCGAGTCATCTGCATCTGCCGCACTGCGCGCCCGCCGGACCCGTGATACCGCCGCACACGCCAGCTGTCACCCACCGAGCCGCCGTCCAGCCGGACGCGCGCGCCCTCGTCTGCCACAAGCAGCGCTCACTTCATCTCCCCACCATCCGACATCGAGGCCTCTCTCCGTTTGGAATCTCGACTCCAACCAGCTCTGCTCACCAACGAAATCATTCTAAGCCTCCCGCTGCACTAGCTCGGCCAATCTTTCGTCTTGCGTGGGAATGGCGTCAAAGCAGTCCACACTTTACATGGGAAGCTAGCCCCTACACGACGTCCGTGCACCGTCTACTTGCCGTCACGAGGTCTGCACGGATACAAGAGGCCTCTCTACCGGTCTGATTACATGTAATGCCCTTCCGTGTCCGAGACTAGGATGGCTCTGTAGAGATCGAATATCCAGCATTCGTTTAGGTGTGGCTCGTCCGGTCATACGCGGGTATTTTTTCTCGCGCGGAACAGTGTAATTTAAGTGTAGGGATTTGGAGGCTGACCAGGTCCGATCTTAACGGCATGCAAAATATTCTTAGAGTCGAGCCCTGAGATAGTTGATTTTCCTCGGAAACCGGCTGGCTTGTCAGTAATTAAAACGTCTCATTTATACTATTTCTAGATGATAAGGTTAGCTGTGATCCTCTCAACCAAGGATTCTGCAGAATTGCAATTCTCCACCACGATTAAGATTAATACATGTGAATCCGTATCAAAACAATTCTGTGGGCTCGACACCTGTGTGATTCGAACACACGCTCCCGAAGGAAATGCCTGGCTGTATAGCAGGGCATCGCGTTAACCACTCCGCCAAAGTGCCTTGTTGCAAAAAAGCTAATAATATTTATAGTATAATATGTCATGTTTACTCGAATTATTAGGAAGTACTAAGATTAGATCAGAATAGATCAAATTCTCTTCTGAGTCTAAGATCATGGAGGACTTCGTCAATCTAACTAAAGATTCTAACTACATTAAAAAAATTTGAAATTTGAAATATGCCAATATTTGTTCTCATAAATATTGAAGGTTAAGCCCTTTAAAAAGTAACAAGAGTTCACTTAGCCATGGCATATGAAATATGGATAATGTTATCCAAGATTTCATACTTTAGATTTAAAAACCCTAATCCTTCAGACATATTCCACTGACTATAATTTTAATCATAAATGCAAGCTAAAATTAGTCACATGGGCGAATGAATCTATTGGTACGAGGCTAGGACAGCAAACTGCTTTCTTGCTCATGGAAATCTGCTCCAGGTAACAGAGCATTCACCACGACGACCATCCAGAGAACCTACTAGTCCGATAGACCACTCAATCTATATTTGATGCGTCCATGCTGCTCAATCAAAGCAAGGAATTCAAGTTGCGACGCAGGAGTTGATTTAGGCCAATGAGCAAATATGCGCGGGAAAGATCAGTGTACAAAGCTGCATATGGAGGCGGGAAGGTCTGGAATGGGCGAGTTTAGCAGCCTCGACTACTGGCTTCAGCAGGCCCTGAAACCTAGGGAACAGACAAGTTCTTGATCTCAACTAGTTCTCATTCAAGCGAAATGGGCTAGGAGTCTCAAGCCTAAGCTATTAATCCTTCTACCAACCACAGTACTCCAAGCGCGCCATCATATCCTGCCCTCGATGGTCGAGCGGTAGAGGAGAGTTCTGAAGAAGTACCCAGCACTGCTCCTTCTCGCCAACAATAAAAGATCCCGGCCATATCTGAATAGTCACGCATTAGATCCTAGATCATGTTTAAATTAAGTAATTCCGCATGATAGTGGTGGTTGAAGTGCTGCCAAGGAAAATAAGTATTGCGAGCAATGCTTGGGGTCAAGAGACAAGATGAGGCTTGTTCGCACAGCTGGAATTAGAGCATGACTATACTTCCTGAAGTCTAAATAGGAAGACTAAAGCTATCGTATAGGCAGATTAACCCTTTCATCGAGAGGTTTCCTCTCATTTAGATCTATATGTAAAGTATTGTAATTTGTTTGCTAGACCTGGCGGTGTAGCTTATCACAGTCAGAGAGTGTATTCTAGAATGCAGTGGTGACTCGTTACAGATGCGATTGCGACAGTACAATTGAGGGTTGTATGAAAGTTTGGCACTTCTATGGGTCTCAATTGTGTGGAGGTTGATTTAATTATTGATGATAATTGCTTGTTATGTCTATCTACAGAGATTGTGCTACAGTTCTACATGTGCCCGTAATCGCTTAGATTTGGCTAGTGGGCTGTCCCCTCTTTTACTTCGCTCCCGTGTTCCATCACGTGAGATATAATAACTGCTCACTACGAAGTCCGCAGATTGAACAGCGTTAGATCACAACAAAAAGATCAGACTCTCACCCACCTGCTTGAACACACGCAGTCAAGTCGGCACAATTGGATCTGCAAAATTAGTCGTTCATTATTGTATTATATTATCTTCCTCTATCAGTCTAGGACTACATGAAAATCTTAGACTCTTTCTGCCTACACGCTAGGGATACCTATTCGGGTAGTATATCTCCTCCTATGCCTCTTACACAGCTTCCCTCAAACAAAACCAACCCTCACAACCCCTCATTCGACCGAATACCAAGAAGAGTATTTTGACTTTCATTGCTTCCCATCTCCAGTCAAGGAAATGAAGGTCATCTACGAGTATATGATAGTTGAAAAAACTACAGACGCCACTGGGTGCGGAGCTCTCACAATACCGACATCAAGGCCAAATCTGAAGATATAGCTACCCCTCTGAAGCGTTCAAAAGAGCCGGCCAGCTAGGTGCTGCAGACATGTAGGTACTTCGGGGAATTCATGCTCCGATTTTCTATCCTCCTTTCAACTCTTTCCTGAAGGCCGCGTTGAAATATCAGAAAAGTCTTGATAGAGCGTGATTGCTCTACAGAAGCTTAGCACAACTCTTTCTGCGCCGTCCAGGGCCCTGAAGAGTGCCTTAGACTCACTGGCGATAATCGAAATGGCTTGTTGTGCGAATCTCTGGTCTTGGCGCTCACAAACATTCCAAAATCGACAACTAATCGAGAGTACCAGCCTCATTTTGCCCATGAACGACTTTTGTCCTTCATTCCACCTCTCAACTAAAACCCTCAAGAGGTAGAGCCCCATTATTACTATGACCTTCAAAAGCTAAATAACGAGCTCTGTACATTGCGAATTGATTTCCTTCTTGTGGGTATACATAAAATCGTAATTTGTAGTGTGAGATGGCTAGTAACTGATGGAGCAAGCTCCCGTTTGCAATTGAAACAACTCCTTGATCGTTCATTGAGGCGAGGTCTTGGTAATAAGATTTAGCTAAAGCTCTCGTATGAAAACAGTTAGACCGAAATTAATGAGAAGTCGTCGATTTTGGACGTGCTTGGATTTGCTTTCGACTTCGATTCGGATGCGATTCTTCTTGCCGACCCCGACAGTGCAAAGCTTACATAGCGATTACACCGGCACCACTGGGAGGTGAAGAAGCCGTCTATGCCTGCAAGGCTTCTCTATAATTTTTACCATATCGGGCTGTTGGAACATGTGGTTGTGTAGAGACAATCATATAACCTACGAAGTAGCAGTAGTGTTTGGATCCTCTGATTAGACCGAAATGTAGACCCTCATGCACGGGTGTTGATCGCATTAGGGTCTTGGCATCAACATAGGATATATATATAGTTCTTTTTACCTGATTTGGCTC